GTAAATCTTGAAGAGGCTTCTCAGGTAGCTTCTGAAAATCCAAATTTTGCTCAAGGATCAAAGCGACATCTTGCCTATTCTGATTTATCCAGACGATCTGTGATCTTACATAAGATCATAATAAATTGTTTGAAGCCTAAGGATGCCTCAAAAACTGATCTATCGAAATCAGAGATCAAGCTCATCTGGGCTATCTTGACAGGTCACTCCTTTTCTCTCCCTCACCTTATCATATTCCATATGTACAGAGCATTACAGAAGGATAAGGGTCATTTGCCATATGGAGCTTTAATCTCTCGAATCTTCATGTTTCTAAATCTATCTATTCCTGGTGAGTTGCAAGAAACTATGCTTCCTCGTATATTTGTTGGAGAACGAATGCTCTCCAAAATGAAGAAATTTGAAGATATGAGGGAAAGAGTAAAAGGAAAAGAGGCTGAAAAGTCAGAAGCAAAATCTGTTGGCAAGAAAGTTCAGAAAGAAAAGGAGCAAAGAAAAAGAACAAGTTCACCAACAAACATGATTCTCCTACCCCAATAAAAGTGTACAAAGAAAAAGCGTAAAATTCTTTTGCAAGATGAAAATGATGAAGCAGAAGCTGAACACTTTGAAACAGGAGGCTCAGAACATGTTCCTGATCCAGATCCCAAGATTTCAGAATCAACTCATGCAGAACATGCTTCTGAAGATCCATCACCTGTTCAGGGGGAGATTCCGCCAGAATCAGCAACAGAGTACAATCAGTTTGAGGAAGATCATGTCCAAGATCAGCCATCCGAAAATCAGAACATCCTCTCCATTCTGCTTGAGATTAAAGAAAAGCAAGCTGTTCTAGAACAACATCTGCAGAATCTACATAACATTGTTGAGGAAAACACCAAGGCTCAACAACTACAGGCAGCAGCAGATAAAGCAGAATTAGAGAAAGCCATTACTATGTGCTCATCCAACATGGATAAGGCCATCAGTCAATGCAGTTCAAAGATTGAGGAGGCTGTCTCAATATTGAAAAATTTTCAACTGATTCGTACTCCTAAAAAATAGCCTGTTTTTCCAACATTTCTCTCCACATTTTTCTGTCAATTGGTCTGTAATATATCTCATACTTATTGTTAGACTGGTTGATTAGTTAAATCTCAGTACCTTATTATCTCTATTATTATCTTTTTGCTGATGACAAAAAGGGGGAGAAATTATGTGAAATGAAATTATGTGCAGATTTGCAAGTTATATTCAAAGGAAGAAAGACACAGATATCAACAGAGTTTGCTCTTTCAATCTGTGTTTTATGAGCTTAATATGTTTATTCATTTTCAAAATAATTTAAACTGCAAGAAAGTTTTGTCACCATAAAAAATGGGGAGATTGTTGAGGAAAACTCCTATTAATTTTGAAGATGACAAAACCTTCTATGTTATTGTAAATCTGATACTTATTCGAACAATTTTATTCCAGTGCCAGTATATTCCGGAAACTCGGAAGAAAGTTATTCGAGACTTTACAAACCGTCAAGTATGTTTTTGAAGACCCACATAATCGAAGTTCGAGATACGACGCGAAGTTATTCAAATGCGAAGCGAAGTTATTCGGATGCAGATACAGACGAAGAAATTATTCAGACGCAGAAATTCTTCAGACGCAGACGCAAAAGTTCTTCTGATACAGACGCAGAATTTCTTCAGACGCAGAATTCAGAACATAACACAACAGCTAGTGATCTGGCATGGATTTCACAGAAGGAATGTTCTGATTGTCTCAATCTTAATCAAACTGATTGACAATCAAACATCACGACAGGAATGCATTACAACGGACAAATCTCTACTTATGGAAACCAAGATTCTGATTGTATGGGCGACTGAATCGGCGGGATTCAGAATACATTATCCAACGGCTACTCAATCCTTTCTATACAAATCATTCCAATGTGAAGATTGGAAGATGATCCTCTGAAAGCTGTCCAACGGCTAGTTTGGAAGTAGAGGAGTATTTAAGGAGATCAACGAGCAGCAGAAGGTAGAACAGAATCAAGAATCTTCAAGTCCAAAGTCTGAGTATACTCCAAACATTTCTCTTGTCGTTCTGAGCAAAACATTAAGATCTTGAGGGACACTTTGTAAGAGTGATTGTGTGAGATAGAGAGTCTTATCATACACAAGAGTGTTAACACTCAGAAGTTGTAATTCCTCTTGATTACATAGTGAAATCCAGCTGGTAGGCTGTAAGCGTGGGAGAGTGGACGTAGGCTTGCTATAAGCCGAACCACTATAAACTTGTGTGCAGATTCTTTATCCCTTATCTCTTACTTTACATTCTGCACATCAAGAGCACCGTCTATATAATCTGTCTTGAATCTGAATTTTATTCAGACTCTTCAGTAATTTACTCTGTTTTCGCATAAATTTTTAAAAAAATTGTTCTAGATCACCTATTCACCCCCCTCTAGGTGATCCTCGCTAGCTACATCACCGTCGACCTGGCGAACCATCACCACCACCACCTCCTCCCCCCCGAGAAGTCACTGGTAGTTCTCGCATCCTTTTCATTCCTTTTTCTTCTTTTTATTTATTTTTTAACGAGAAAGCAACCGCTCTTCTTAGTTCAGCTTGTCTTAAGCTAGAATTCCACTCCACGAAGCTAAAGCCTATTCATTATTGATTGTTTGATTTTGTGCAATTGCTGATAGGCGATGGCACTAGTTCTCGGGTTCTTTTCGTTTTTTATGTTAGACTGAGAGTATATATCATGAGCTAGCATTGGAGATTCTTCCTGTCCTTATGATGTCGGCAAAGACAATGAAGTGTTGGTGTTACAACAGTAAAGTTGCCGAAGTTTTCAGGTTGGTCTATGTTCCACGTCCTCACACAAGCGATGATCTTTGTCAAGTTTTGTTTGGTTGTATTTGGCATTAGAACATTGATAGGAGGCTCTCCGCGGTCATACTGGATAATTGTCTCTAGGGAGGCCTTCATTGACATTACTGAGGACGAGATTCCGAAGGAGTATCCCTTGCTAGGTGGCAGTTTGCTTCATGCGGTGCTGTGCTCCATCGTTGAATTTGATCGTTCCGGCCTAGTGGTAATTGAGAAAGGTCGGGAGAGCGTTTCTTACGGGTCAGCTTCATAAGAGAGACGAGAAATGTTTCAAAACATGCTCATAAGTTGCAGGTCCCTACGACTAAGAAGCTAAAGCTTGACTGGCAAACTCGATGGAATTAAACGTTTGCGATGCATAAAATGGCATTGTCTTGGAGAAAAGTGTTGCAATCATTTGGCAGCTTTCGATTCTGAATATAATTGTGCACCGTCTGCCAGGGAGCGGGATATGGTTGGGGAAACATGTGGAAAGATTGAAACTGTTTTGCAGCATCACTGAGATATTATCAGGCACAAAATATCGCACATCAAATCTGTATCTCCCAAAATTCTGTGAAGATAAAATAGCTTTAACAAAATGGTCCGAATGTGGGAATGAAACCATTGAGAAGATAGGGTCAGAAATTTTGAAGAAGCTGATGAGTTCCGTCCTGTCATTCATGATATTATTGGAGTGGCGGCTGCCCTAGATCCAGGGTATTTATCTGTTTTTATTTTCCAAGGATGTATGAAGAAGAGGCTGGCAGCAAAATAAAGAGGATTTGTCAAGTTTATCGTGACCTTTTTGAGAATACCGATCAAAACAAACTTTGAGTATACAAACCGGGCATTCACATCTCTTCAGGCTAAGGAGAGGAGTATTGCCAAGGAAAGCCTTTGTTTTTTTGACATGTTTATTCCTAAGAGAAAGCAAAGAAAAGTCGTGTGAAATCGGAGTTGGATTACTACTCGGAGGAAGACATGTTACCTAGGAGTTTGGATTTGACATTCCCTTTGGTGGGAATCAAATGGGCATAATATCCTACCTTACAGCAGATTGCTAGAGATATATTGGCTATTCTGGTCTCAAATGCTGCTTCAGAATCTCCATTTAGCGCTGGTGATCATCTAATTAGTCCTCATCCAAGTAGATTTCATCCGGATACTGTTAAGGCGCTGGTGTGTGCACAAGATCAGTTGTTGGCTCAGTTTAGAGGTAATAAACTTCAAACGTGTCACTTCAGTGGATAAACGTCATTTCTTCACGCATTGGCATTTCTATTGGATGATTCTGCCATAAACTTGCAAACTTGTGGGACCATTTTGTTTGATACGGTTGAGTAATTGGTTATTTTGGTAAGTATAACTTTCATTAGACTGGAGAAGCGACAACCATTTAATTCTGTGTTACCACGTAATTCATAAGTATAGTAATTTTTCACCTGCAGCGTTTGATCTTTTGGTAGCTCTTAACTCTTTTGATAGGAGCTCAACAGGGAAGCTACTTTTTGAACTTTTAGTTTTCTTAGATTAGATCGCCAGTGAGTTTAGGGGTGCGCTTTTGTTGTTGAATGGACAACGAAGTCGAATCTTTGGAGGAACTTCTCTTACATTTCTAAGGATGATTTTGGTTCTCTGACAGCAAAGATTATTGTGCTTCTAATTGTATCTGAGGTTGCAAAATCAGATATCAAGCAAACTTTGGACCAGTACACAGATGATTCATTAGTTTGGTTAGCATTCACTGAGTTTTCGACAGCATTAAAGTAGACTTCCCAGTTACAAGGTGACTTCTTGACACACCGTGGGAGATCAGTTGAACCTTTCAAGAATAAATGAGTTAATTCAGTAGCCTGTACAGAACGAGAAAAAATCTCCAGAATGTACATTTGACCCTCTAAAGTTCACTCTCATGCTTCCGTGATTAATAATGACGATAATAATAACAACAATAAGCAAATTTAGACGAACATGACTGGCTAATGTTATGTTTAATTTCATGCTTTAGGAGACGACCGACGATGACCACAACAGCAGCAGCCAGCAACAATAATAATAAGTATATTTCAGTTGTGGACAAACTGGACTGCTAATGTAAAGTATTTGAAGTGGCAACTCGCGGAGAAACAAGTATTCATCCAACAGTAAGAGAAAAGAATTGATTTGCATTTCGTGAGGGCAAAAAAACCTCAGAGCTCTACAATGTACATCAAATGTGCAAAGATGAACAGGAAAAAGTTCTAAATAAAAGAATGAGAACGAATTCCTATAAGTCCTAGTCTACCCTCCTAGTTTCTTTGCTGTAATTTCTCTTCTTCAAGTAAGTATTAAGAATCGATTCTCTATTCACACAAAAAAGAATAAAGTCAATAAAAGATTCCTGTACTTAGGCACCAGGCCACGGGGCCGATGCTTTCCTTTTCAGAGGTGAGGACTTCACTGCAGAGTCTTGAACACCAATGTTAGGAAAAGAAGCACTGTCGTGTTCTGATGAGCCTAAATTTAGTCCTGGAACTGAAGAAAGGGACCTCAATTTCTTCGGTGTAACTGCACTGGCGCTTTGCGGAGAGAAATATGACCTTGAAAATCCTGCACTCCTCGGAGACAAGTTCACATGTTCTAGAGCTCGAGCCCGCAGCTCCGGGGGATGGTCCCTCACGTAACCAATGCGAGGCCCTGCTCCAGTCGTCCATTTGCAGGACAATTGCTTTACTGGCTGAGATGACTTTGATTCTTTATGTGAGTTTATCCTTTGTAGGACCAATTCTTCTGGTGTAGTTTCTACTTCGTTCTCTTTGTGTTTGTTGAACGAGTTAGGTTTCAGAATGTTGTAATTGGGTTCAGAAGCAAAGGGCTCTTCTGTTGTTTCATAACCGTCTAGATTCTCGCTCTCTAGGTCTTCAAATGACTGATGCTGTTTTGGTACTTCGAGACTGGTCAATTTCCTACCGAAGCTTTGTAGGTGCCTTGGCTTGCGCAACTCCAGATCTGAAGAATCACCACTCTCTTTGTTCAACGAATCTGTTTCTACTTCGGTCAAGGTCGAAACATCAATCTCTGAGGCATCCGCCTTTTGCATTAAATCCTCTTCTGATGGGTTGTTTCGTAGATAAAGACTGCTTCTACTGCTAGGCGTCATGACTTCCTCATCCACTGGACTCAACTGAAATGTGAATACAACAATGAGTCAGCTATTCGCTTGTTGTGAAGTATATTAAAACATAACTAAACTAATAAAGCCTCTCGGCATCATCCAAACAATCTAAGGCGGAATCCTGCCTAAACAAGGATTGGCATGCGTGAACAAAGGATACCTCCTCGCATGATCTATCGATATGAGTGCTAACTCGTGTTTCCAAGCGTGTGTGAGTGAATATTCATTAATCAAACCAAAAGATACGAGGCATAGCCAAGAATCTATCTCTTTCAATCTTACCGTTACATCAGTGAGGTCCACATCGTTCTCTTGGAGAAAGGAGATGAAATCCTCGAAATTTTCCTTGGTGGGCCGATAATGGCCACTGTGAGGCCAAACTGCCTGCAAACAAACAGAGAACGACCGTTGTTAAAAGACACTGATATGAATAATCGCCAATCCAAGAACATATTGCTATCTCTCAGCCGGAAAAATCACCTTAAGTACGCCGTGTTCGACAACTAATCTCCCTGCAGCTGCTGCAGCTCCTCCAGCCAAGAAGCTGGAATGCTGGAAAGAACCTTTCTTCTTTTTGCCAACATACATTGCTCTCGACGTGCTCAGGACGAAAATCCACTTCCCGTCCCTGGGTTCACCAGTGGTATGGATCGGCTTGCCACTCTGCTTGTAAAAGAGCTTCCCATCTTCGATGACAACTTCATAGGCCTTCCTTTCCATCTGTTAGGAACAAGAAAACTCTAAGCAAGACAATAACATACACAACAATAGCAAAGGACAATCACGAGTGGAGTTGGAAGCCAACCGGGCCAAGGTACTTGATACATTGCAGTTGAAGCTTTGGTCTGGGACATTTCTCGAGATTTACTTCTTTGCCTTCTCCTATATCCAACCTGCAACGCAAGTCAATAATGTTCCCCTTCAGTCAGAGATTACTTGTTATGATATCAACGACGTAAAAGTGTCGCGTGGTCAGATCTAGTCCATTACCAGTAAAAGAAGGGTTCTCTGCTCTGACTGTGAAGCCATGTGACATAATAGAAGTGAAGATTATGCCCATATCGATGACGTGGATCAATCTGTAAAATAGTTACAAGGATAAGTCGAACTGATTAAGAGAGATAGTTACTAGTCACAATTTCTTGTCATGGTGAACTTACCGCTTCAAGCCAGTGTTGTAATGCAAGTTTCTGAGCCTTATCGTTCTTCGACAAACCTTTTCCAACCTGCAATATGAAATAGCTTAGTCTCATATCCAGCAAAGGCCAGAAAACACTTATCAGCCTGTTGGAGCTCATAGATTTACCTTGGCAGCTCTTGTTCTTGCTCTCGACCAACGCGAAACGGCTGTCTCGTGTTTCCCATCATCGAAGAATGATATAGAGCTACGCTTGAGCTCAGCAAAATCCAAGAGCTTCCACCTGTAAGTTCCATGAACGGCGGTATGAGTAACTAATCACATTCGCACCGTAGACTTATAATGCATCACCATCAGCATTTAGTATACTTACCAGCTCTGCTTAACAAGTACCGCGCAATCTGCCAGCTTCCTTCTAGTGCGGAAGCTTTTGTAAACTTTCTGTAATTTTACAGCTGCCTCATGTTTAGGATTTTCAGGGTCCAAGACAGAGCATTCCTGAGCCATCCCAACAGATCTCGGGATCTGAATGTTCCCACCATCATATTTTGGGCAAACTGACGTGGCGGGCACTTGCTTCTGTACATTCGATAGCGGAGTCGGAGACTCAATTGGAAGAACCATCTCCGGATCCCTCTCTTCCAAGTGAACGGCGCGCTGGAGTGCCATCACTCCAGAGCCTAAGGGCTTAGTTATTATTGGCTCTAAACCTTGAATATTGAAACTGAGGGAACGAGCCGGAGTCTTGACTTCATCGTCTCCAAAACTTTTGGATTTGATGATAATGGATTGGACACCATTTTCCAGGTCGGCAAACTCCGCGAATGGGCAGGAAAAAGAAATTCCCATACGACGAGATATACAACAGGGTCCAAATTTCCTTCTGTAGGAGACAAACCAAAATGTCCGGAAACAATGTTAGAGAATGAAAAGAAGAGATTACATGGTGACCATCGAATACATCCCTATCTAAACCGTGCTAAATAAACTGCATTCTAGCAGATATGGACCAATGCAACCTTGATGAAGAGGTCGTTGAAACCAGTGTTGACCACTGATCCATAACCAATGCAAACAGACTGGTGAACAAAGTTCTATACCCTAAAGCACTCGTCCTTCAAACCCAGCACCAGAAAAGGCACCAAAAAAGCAGGTAGAGACTCAGCAGTTGGACCAATTCAAATCTATTCCATTCAAAACAATCGTCCGAAACCATTCGAGGCGACAGCAGATCAAGAAACGTGTCCCCAGACTCGTCCCAATGAACAAAGACTCGCTCCCAAGAACGCCCAGAAAAGAAAAAGGGAACGCATTGGATACAGAGACCCAAACGGGCCAGAAAATCTAACAACACCCATTGTCACAGAGAATCAGGGAACAGAACAGAGAGCCTGAAAAATCTACGAAATGCAATGGCAACGCAATGCCTGTACACGGGGAGTTACCTCCGAGAGACTGAACAAAGCGTGAACCAACGCAACGATAGGATAAGTTCCGAAGCTGCGATGTGAACTGACGAACTCGTCGTCGTCGTCGTCGAGGGAAGGAGAGAGTCAAATGGGGTGCTTTCAGTTCGGCTCTTGCACCGCAAAGTTCGTGCCTTTTTTCGAAGCGGGACACAGAAAAGTTACTCATCTTCGCTTTGCTCGATGCTGGCTATATATAGGGGGCCACGCTGAGAGAGAGAGAGAGAAAGAGTTGTCTTCCTTTCTTTTTGGTGTCAAACCACGTGGAGGAGACCATTGGCCATTTGGGGGGGGGGGGGGCGAAAAGTTTTCTCGACCGAAAATTCTCTCCTTCTTCTTCTTCTTCATTTGCCGTTTTTCGTTTTGATATCAGGCCTACCCATTTCGATGCAATTGCAGACTCCTCCCTCACTCACGCACACGCGCATACGGCTCTTGGATTTGCAAATTATCGTGAATTGACTTTTCTAGATGTGCGTATAAATTCGGGTCCATTTGAGTCGACTTCTGAATCGGTTCCTATTATGCATATCATAAATTCTACGCCACGCGATGGGCGCATTTTAACCTTTTCTTTTTAGTTCGAGACTTCCGAAACTTTCACCGGATATAGAATTCGACACGTCGTATTTATATAATATTTTTCAAATTTTTTTGGGGAATATGGAATACTTAAATTTTTGACCTTTCTAAAAGCGTAACCAAGCAGGCCCGGACATCATGACGGCGGAAGGCTAATGCATGTCGATGCCTTATTTGCATATGCCCTTATCGATCTCCTTAAATAAGTACCTTTCAGATACTCGAAGGGGAATTTCCAATTTCCTCCCCCGAAGAAACATAGGAAGGGGAGGATTCTTTTTGGGTAAACTCGCTACCGTCTATTTTCACACGCCCCGACCGATAAAAACAAAGTTTCTTTTAACACGGTTATCTTAATTCATTCAATCTATATATCCCAAGGATCGTAGAATATCCACCCTCGCACTGCCCATTTCCCATTTTTTTTTCTGCTCATGGGAAGCCTTCCTCGCCTGCTTCTTGCTATTTTTGTAACTTCTCATCGGGGGAGAGACCCAGGTCTTTATTTATCATCGATTACAAAACGGAATAAAAAAGGTCCATTTAATCGACCTTTTCCTACCATTTTTCCTAAACAAAAAACCTTCTCTTTTTTTTTTTGGTTCGGTCCAAAAAACCTTAAACTTGCACGTCACGCCTCTCTCGGGGATTTTTCCAACTCCCGAGGAGACGTTTTGCTCTTCCAAGTCAAATTCAAAGCTAAACGAAAGGAGGAGGAGAGAGAGAGGGAAGGAGAGGGGTTGACTTCTTCCTTGAATCGCAAGGTTCGCAGTGGCTTGTGTCATCCGATGCGTCGAGCTTAATTCACAAGCTTTGTCAGATTATGACCAGCTGCGTTAAATATATAAGTTGCATCAGCAATTTCTGTGCTTTTGTTTATGTCGTTTACGTGGGGTTCGATTGGTCGGATGATGTAATGGCACGCGTGAATCCTTCGGATAGACAATGGAGGCAGTTGAATAAACCGTGAGGGAGTGAGACCCGCAAGCTGATTAGGACACATTTGATCGCTCTAATCCAGTTTTTAATGTTTCATATGGAGAATATTACACAATGGGTTTTGCACTATAAAGGGTCTTTTATTGAATTGGATATATCAAGAGCTACGGAATGTTTTGGAATCAAGTACGGAGTCGAGACATGATACGATCAGTGAGTTCGTTTTGTCATATTAGGGGTGTCGCATTCGATGTTACCTGAAATAAGGTAGGCATCGTTTGGCATGTGAAAGTTAACTTGGGATGGTACGTGCCCGCACAAAACGCGCGTAAGAACAACTCGTTTATATAGACGATGAGAACTTTCTCGAGTTTGTATTTGGTGAACGATTATTTTCGTCTTCAAATATGACATCGAGGAAAAGTTTTGGAGAAACTATGGGAGTCCGGTTTGATGGGCGACCCTTCCGTAATAAAAAAAAATGCTTAAAAAAGTGCCCCTCAAACGCTTATAAAACTTTGGTAAGCACGCTTCGGAATTTTAAAGGTTTACCATCAGAAGCAAAGCGATTTCGCTAAAATGCATAATTTTTGCAATTCTCGACATGTCTTGAAGAGGGTCGTTTTCGGTTTTAGTAAATTTAACGAGCGCCGAAAGGGCAGTTGTTATCGAGACCTTCTCACAATATCCACCTTCATGAATAGGGATACCGAGGTTATATCAAGAGCACAAAACCGAGATGCCGAGGAGTTAATACGATGGTCTGTTTTCTCGTTTCCTTACGATTGGAGCTTCATTTGCTTAACTTGGCATTGCTTTCTAGAAAAATCAAATTCCAATGCAAATCGACACGGATTTGGGTCACCCACTTCCTTCTTGAGAAAGAAACCGATGATTTCCGGGAGGGAAAAAAAAATGGATAACTATGATGAATGAAGACGATCTGAATGAACAGTATGGTCCAAAGATTACGGTCAGTCCCCCACTTTCGCACCGTCGGAAATCAGTCAGCAGGAGATACACACCAACAGCAATGACGACAAGCATGACTCTAGTCGATCGAATAATTAATTAATTAATTAAGGTTGTGCATTTGATTATGACCGGATCGAAACGACGACCAGCATGACGTCAATTCACCCCCCCTTGGAACCGTTCTCTTTCCTAACTTTTCCTCGGGTCCCGGTCAATACGGCGGGCCCAAAATGACTTCGTGCGCAAGCATCAGCTCAATTTCCCAACAAATTCCCCCTCCCGGAAAATCGGCCCGACGACCTCTTTTGTTCTTCGAAACACAGCGTCGTCTTGGTCACATCCGGAAAATTCTCCCATTATCCATCGCGAAATAAATGAATTTTTGTAATTATTTCGCTATTCCGACGGTGGAAATGCAAAATGGGGGAGCTTTACGTGGCCAAAACGAGCAGGACTTGACGTGGTTCAGGGCAGCGACTCTCGCTGACATGTCTGATCGCTTTGTCGCCGTCACGTGCAAACACTAAAACCTCGTCGTTCCATTATTGCAGTTTTGGTATTAAGAGCCGTAGATTAAGTCAAATCTCTAGCCCAAAGCCAAAAAAAAGTCAAACCCAGTTTAGGTTCATTTTTTAATCGTCGGAGATCAAATGAGGCCAGACATTATACTGTCACCTACAACTGTCAATCTCGGATCTCCACGCATTTAAGCGTTTTTCTTTTATTATTGTTATTATTATTATTATTTCTGTTCCCTTCTAATTGAGTTCGATAATAACAAGGTACGGTGCGCCGTACGTACGAGCTGTTTGGAAGCCCAGCTGGCTCCCTCCCACGTGTCGGGAGGCTGTTCGGGCCACGTTTCACGTTGTGCTTGCCGGGAAATTTCGATACAAAGCGATTTCTCCTCAGGATTTTCAGGGTTAATGAAGATTCAGCTGGGTCCGCATTCAATGTTGTGATCCCGCGCATCTCTCTGTGTATGTGTGGCATGATTTGTCGGCGAAACATAGCAGATAGAAACCGGTTTAATTTTTGTTCACTTATTAAGGTCGTGTTTAAGATTCCTTGTACCGTCGCTACTGCGGGATCGTTTATGTAATTGCTACGGGACTCTCTCTCTTTTTTTTTTGTAAGACGGTTATTGATTACGTAACGACCCGATTCGACTAGGGCGAGAAGTGATAACCGGGGACAGAAGACCTGGATAAGGAGCGGCTTCTGACATGAATGAATCGAGTTGTGCACCGAACATGAAGAAAGCGATTCCAAAATATATATGTGAAAAATTGGAATTAATTCGAGAAGACGCCTTTTGACGTAACGATAATATCTAGATTGGTAAGCGTGTTCAGGTGAGAGCACTCACGAGTGACCTCGTGGGAAGGTGCTCGCATGTACATCAAAGGATAAAATCATGAGACTTGATATAGGACGGACTAAAGCGGATAATATCTTGAGTGAGTTAAATCCAAGGTAACACAAATTATGTTCGGGATAATTAGGAAGATACGCCTGCTTATGATTCTTTTCTAATAGACAATTAGCAACGCACTGAATCATCATTAAAAGTCACTTCAAATTGCTCGTGTTAGGGTCGAGGATTACTTATGTCTTTAACCAACCTAACATGCAACGGCTCCATCACTCTCTACTCTTCACGGCTGACCGTCTTAATCTCAATACGTAATTTAAGAAAATAATTCGTTGCTTAACTCTGTCGGTGAAAAGGAAGAAACGTGAACGATGGAAATAAATCCGGTGCATCTTTAATTTTGAAATTTTGCTTTTTTCCAATCTCGCGATTTTGGGATAATGACACAAATGGTCCCTGGACTTTGTCTCAATATGCAATGTGGTCCCTGAATTTTTTATTTGTTCGATGTGATTTTTGAACTTTTAATTTGTTCAATGTGCTCCATGAACTTTTGGATCGTGTCAACATTGAACATTTTCATATAGTCCAAGGACTAAATCGAACATGTACCAAAATTTTAAGGAGTACATCGAACGAATTAAAAGTTCCGAGACCATCAGGGATCACATTAAATAAATCAAAAATTCATGGACTGTCATTTTCCCCGAGATTTTCATGCTCTGACCTCCGTTCAAGGGGAACATCCGAGACCTCACGGAACATATAAGAATCCGCACTGATCATCGTTAATCACACACACGATCTTCATGTCTCATCTTATTCGCGGATTTTCATTTTCCAAATTTCGGAGAGATACGAAGCACAGAACAGGGGGAATACGGTAAGAAAAGATTTGCCGTGTTTCGAGGGGACATCGCGGATGGACGACAGCGTGAGGTCGGGGGTCCGAATTTCTAAGTCGCTGCCGCACGGTCCATCCACCACCGGCACACACGCCACCCCCCCCAAACCCGAACGACCCAAAAGAGACCATGGAATGGGAAAATGTCGGGAAAAGTCGAAACCCCCCTCCCTATCCATGCCGTCGCCGCCGGGCGGCGAGGAACGAGGATTGTCTAGGGCGGTGCATGATTCGACCTCTCGAAACAAACGAACGCCATCGATGTCAAAATCGAACTCGAGAGAGAACGACACTCGCAACGTCCTCGGTCTCGAGCTGTCCGCCGCCTCCCAGGAGCATTCACAGCTGGCCAGCAGCCCCACCAAGTGAGGCAAAGATATAATAATTTGACGAGGGAAAGAGGGGGAAGGAATTTGGGGTCGTCTGGTTGGTTG